AGATGCGTGTCTTGCAGTCGTTTGATCCCAACCCGACTGGCGCAGCGTGCGAGTCGCTGCGCGGCGGCGTCGCCGTCGGCGCCATCACCCACGGCGTCCTGCGCGTCGACGACATTGTCGAGCTCCGCCCCGGACGCTTTGTCCGGGATCCGGTGAGCAAGCGACTTCGCTGTACGCCGCTACGCACGCGCATCACGGCGCTCACGGTCGCGAGCACGGCAGTTACCGAGGCCGGTCCGAGCGCGCTCGTTCGCATCGCGACGACGCTCGACCCGACGCTTGCACGGGCGCACCGGCTCATGGGACAAGTGCTTGGTCTCCCCGGGACGCTGCCACCCATCTACATGGCGCTCACCGTGGTTATGGGTGTCGGCGCCCGCTCGATTTGTGCCAAGGATGTTGTGCGCGTTCACATTGGCGCCACGACGGTCGACGCGACAGTCGTGTCGCTGGCGACCGACCGCGTCCAGCTCGTGCTCGCTGCGCCTGTGTGTGCTCACGCAGGCGAAGCCATTGTGCTCACGCGCCGACGCCACGCCCGGTGGCAGACGCTGGGCCATGGCACGCTGGCGGAAGGCGAAGTGGCCGACATGGCGGACGCCTGACTCGCAGCTGCCTCGTGTTGCATGTCTCGCCGCCATTCTTGCCCACGACGACGCTGGTCGATAAGACGAGCAACACGATGGCGCGTCGATATGTTTAGTGTCTTTATTTGTTTACAGGATTTACTGCGCGTCAAGGACCATCGGTGTCAGTGCGGCGTCCCATGAGACGGCCACATGTCCTTGGACCTGGAGGTTGTAGATTGCAGTGGGGAGTGGGGCACTAAACGCATTGCCTTCCAAGCGTCTACATTTGCCGTCAAGAAGGTACTTGGTTCCATAATGGACCGACATACAGCACTTCGAGCGATGAGAGTGTGCTCAAGCTTGGTGGTACGAGGCCCGTCAATGCGTTCTGGTCCAATCGCAACACGCGCAGCGCGCTGAGGCGCCCAAGAGTCGACGGCACGCTCTGTGTGAGCGCATTCGAGCTCACGTCTCTATGAGAGTCCATGAGAGGTCGTCATTCGACTCGGTTTGTACAGTTCTTCTAGGGCCGAGAGACGCGCGAAGGCCGGCGGGAGGTAGCCTGTGAGTCCATTGTTCGCGAGGCGTCTACGTGGATGTCGAGTAGGATGGAAAGAATTGTCGATTTACAAAAGCACGATGTGGCCTTGACAGTTGCAGTGCACGCCATACCACTATTTGATTGCAGCATCGTGAGTGCATCCGAATCGACGAAGACGCATACGTTGTCCCGGCACGGATCGCTGACGACATCGCTGATGGGCCACGACTGCTTCCACGACGGCCCACCCGTCGCCCAGAACAGCATGGCCAGCGCTCCTCTGTCGTTCAGCGTCACACGACCACCTCTGCCATCGCAAGCGGTCACAGTGTCAAGCACCAGCATTGAGATAGCTCCAACTACGATACGCATGATGTATGACTGTGCCGTTTGCACCTCTAAAAATATGCCACCCACTTGATACCCTATCCGGGCTCCCAAATGGATAGATAGATAGATAGATAGATAGATAGATAGATAGATAGATAGATAGATAGATAGATAGATAGATAGATCTCAAGCAAGGGGCGAATCGACCGTACTATAAGAATCTCAGATTTGGATGGGATTGCAAATGTGTCAAACTAGCGCAAAGGACAGGCAAGCGACGAGTTTGCACTGAATATTGCACTATTGTGCACGCAGTATATGTGTGCAGTGTCTAAATTACATGCGGAAGATCAGTCGAAATACATTACTGAATCGTCACGGTCGTGTCCTTGAGCACCTTGATGTTGTACACGAGCGCGGTCACGTCGGAAAAGGTGCTATCGACCAGGTGCACGTTGCGGTCCGAGTCTTGGAGGACCATACACTTGGCTTCGCCCCCAGCGCTCGACTCGTCTTTGGTGGTCGCCGACGACTGCAGCATGCGTTTCTTGAGCCGCAGCTGCTTCTCGGGGAGGCCAAAGCAGATCAAGTGGCTCATGAAAAACCACTGGAGCGTGCTGAGGCGGCGCGCCCTGCAGATCAGAATCGTGGCGCCATCGCCGTCAACTTGAATGCCGTGCAGGTAGTCGCACACGATCGAGCTGCTGTTGAAGATGGCTTGGCGCGCGAGCGAGTTTTGCGCCAGCTGCCGCCACCTCGCGCGGTGCCACACTTGGTCGAGCAGCGTGACGACGAGGACGTTGACCAAAACGCCGATCGCGATCGCCGGCGTGGTGCGGAGGTAGTAGCCGTCGAGCGCATTAACAAAGAGAGTGTCGAGGTTCGAAGCCGCGTGGTCGACGTCGACGGCGACGCTGTTGCTATAGTCAATGTACGTCGGAATATACGCGAGCACGATCGCGCTCACGTAGAGCGACGTGACATTGGTCCAATTCAAGTAGCCCATGAGGACGCTCTCGCCGTTGAACGTCGCGGTGCTGACGATGCTCCACGCGATCTTGAGCAGCTTGAGGCACGCGCAGTTGAACCAGAGCATGCGCGTCGTGAGCGCATACATTTGAAACGTATGCGTCCACTTTGGCGCAGGGTCGGCGTACGCGGAAATGTGCCGTAGAAACAAGAGGCAGTTGCCCATGTCGAGGACGACGCTGGTCGCAAACAAAAAGACAAACGCGTCGGAATTGTAGCAAAACATGTCAAAGCGGAGGGCCACACTCGGGTACGGAAAGCACTTGGGCGAAATCATGCGCACAAGCTTTGCAAAAATCGAGTCGGACAAGGCGCCATTCGCTTCTTGCCACTGCACCGTGCGGCGACTGGCCAAGTACCCGCCAAGCGCAAAGAGGATGGCGATCGCTTTCACATAGTGCGACGCGGTCGAAAAGCTCGTGTGGGGCAGCATCATGCCGAGGTGGTAGTCGGCGCCCAAGAGGTTGGACGCGGTCGTGATATTAAGCACTTGCCGACTCGCGTCGTAAACACTTGTGATGTTGCACGTGCCGTACCCAATCTCCGCGATCGGAGTGCACCCGGTGCAGTACGATTTCGGACTCAGGCGGAAAAAATCGAGTAGCTGCGAATTTGGCGTCGAGCTGTTGGCAAACGTCGTCTCGGTCGTGAGACGGAGGTCCACGAGGTGCCGACCCGCCGTGTACCCAAGCGCGTTGAGATCGCTGATGGACATGCTGCCATTCGCCAAGTTGACGGCGCCATCGTCCGTAAATATGTGGGTGAGCGCCGAGCCGCGGAAGAATGTGACTGTGTTGCTGGCGAGGCCCAGCCGGCGCTTGATGAGCGTCGGGAGCACATACTCGCCTTGAAATGCGCGGCACAAGTCGATCGCTGGCGTCATTGTAAAGACGCCGCCCCACACGAGGTAGACGTCGCTGCTCTTGGTCGCGAGGGCCTCCATGGTATAGTTGACCATCCAGTTGCCGATGCGGGAAATGTCGGCGGGCGCCGCGCCGCGCAGGAACGTGTACGTAGCATCCAAGTCGGTGACCGATCGCATGCCTGTAATTGGCGTGAGGAAGCGGTATGCGTTCCCGAGGTAGTCGTTCACGGCCCAGTTGTTGAGAATCGTGTCGGTCGCGACAAGACCAATGATCACGAGGCCTATGAGACGCACGCCGGCTTGAAAGAACGCGCCTTTGGGAGGACCGAGACGCGACTTGATCGGGACGACGACGCTGTGGAATGGACCGTCGGGGAGCACGGGCAAGTCCATTGCTCACCCGGCAATGTTGCCGCACCGAGGTCGTTGCAAAGTGCGACCTGTTCAGGAACGCAAGGGAAGGAATACGTATCGCGCGTGGGACGACCAACGTGCGATCCATTGGAAGCTCTCTGTATAAATAGCCTCCTAAAACCCACCCCTTTCCAACCAATACCAATAGAATCGACGGCCCATGAAGGATCGGACCGCGTAGAGCACCCTTGAAATGGGCACATCGTGTCGCGGCGAAGATGCGGTGGGCCTATAGTCGTGTGTACCACACCGGAGCCTCGGACCGTTGACAGCATATCGCTGTTCCGCCATGTTTTTGGCGGGAAGGCGAAACGGCTCCCGATCCAAGACGGTCATTGGCATAGTGGGGGCGGGTGCAACATCGGATGGTCCGATATGGCGTCGCTAGAGGAATTGATGCAAGCGGCGGCCAATATTATCCACCAGGTACAAGGGCACTCGGCTCGCGAGCTAACCTGCATACGTTGCTACTAGAACGAGACGTTCCAGAAGAGCCTAAAATGCATGCGATTGGTGGAGGATGGCGCACCCGGCGTTTCAAACCGGTGTTCAGGCTAACGAAACGTAGCGGCGGTCATCCGGTGCCTTGCGAGTCATGTGTGGTGTCACGCGACGAGTGCCCTTTGCACTCGTCTTGACTGTACTCGGCTGACGTCTTGTGCTAAAACTGACAAAGAAGAACCGAGTAGTACTAGCCTCGTGTCGAGTTGGCGGTGGTGATCCAGACCATTGAAGTGGGTACGGACAGAGCAAGGTGTCCATCTATTTTACCGTACCCTAAAATGAAAGCGGGTTCATCCTTTTGACGGCCTTTATTCGGAGTGGCCACCCTTGTGTCGCAGGTCATTCTCGGTCGTGGATTTCGATCACTCGTGCCAAGTAGGCAAGAATAATAAGGAATCTTACTCCTACGATCCGGTGAGAAGTATTGAAATCGACACCGTATCCGAGGTCTGATCCCGTGCCTCAAGTGTGCTTGGCGACGCAACTCTTACGCAGGCAATGTACAAGCGCGGGGCCCATTTCCCCCCGCGCCCCATCCAACGTACGCATGAAAGAAAGCAATCGAAAACAAGTTTGCATGAAACATCATCTACTGGATCGCGACCGATGCGTCTTTGAGAATCTTGATGTTGTAGGCGAATGCTGTCACATCGGTTAGGCCGGCATCCAACAAGTGAATATGGCCGTCGCCATCTTGCGCAACGATACACTTGGTGTTGCCCTTGACTTCTTCGCTTGATGTCGTCAAGGTCACTGACGACGTTTGAAGCATCCTTTTCTTGGCGCGGAGTTCCTTCTCGGGAAGGCCAAAGCACCGCATGTGGTTCATGAAAACCACTGCAGCGTACTGAGGCGGCGCGCCTTGCAGATGAGCAGCGACCCTTGGCTGCCGACCTCCGTATCCGGCACCATGCCGTCGAGGTAATCGCACACGATCGAGCTGCTGTTGAAGATGGCTTGACGCGCGAGCGAGTTTTTCGCCAAAAACGTCCAGTGCCGGTATCGAAGGACATGGTCGAGCGTCGTGATGCCAAGAATGTTCGCAACGAGAAGGAGGACTATTGAAGGAACGCAGCGAATGAAAAAACCATCGTATGCATCGACGTGGATTGGGTCGAGTATCTCGGCGCTATGATAGAGCTCGATGCTGACGCTGTTGTTGTACGCGACAAACGACGGGACTAAAAAGAGAAGCGCGACGCTCAAATACAAAAACGTGACGCTCGACAAGTTGAGGTAGCCCATGAGACGACTCTCACCACTGTACGACGCCGTGCTGAGAACACTCCATCCGATTTTAAGGAGCTTGAGGAAAAGACACGTGAGCCACAAGAGACGGACGCTAAGGCCATAGAGCTGCAGCGAAATGCCAAATTGCGGCGAGAGCGAGTTGTAAAAGTGCATGTTGCGGATCGCGACAAACCAATTGCCCATGTCGAGAATGACACTTGTCGCCAAAACGAGGACAAAGACGTCGGAATTGTAGCAAAACATGTCGAAATTCAGCGCGAAACTCGGGTACGGAAAGTACTTGGGCGAAATGGTGCGCAAAAGTTTCGCAAAGATCGAGTCCGTCACGGCAAGGTCGACTTCGCTCCACTGCACCGTCTTGCGACTGCCGAGGAAGCCACACACCGCAAACGTGATTGCGATTGCCTTGAGGTACTGCGACAATGACGAGAGTGCGGATTTTGGGAGCAAAAAACCGAGCTTGTAAATCGACTTGTCGATATTGGCGCTGCGCTGCACATTCATCGATGCAGTGGCGTCGTCATAGACCAGCGTGAGGTTGCACCGGCCATGTCCTAGCTCGACGATGGGCGTGAACCCGCTGCAAAAGCTACGTGGAAAGAGCCGGTAGTACGTGATCACCACGTGTTGCGTCTCGGACATGTTGGCAATCTTGAACGGATCCGACAAGCGCAAATCGGCCGCCATGCGTGCGGGCGTATAGCCCCGCGCCAAGAGGTCGCTGCTGCCCATAGTGGGTGTCGCAAGGTCGTCGGACGCATCCTTTGTAAAGAGATGGCTCCACGCACTGCCTCGCACAAACGTGATCGAGTTGGTGACGGCAGCAATCTTGATTGCGTCAGCACCAAGCTTCATGTCGTACTCGCCTTGGAAAATACTGCAGAGGTCATAAGTCGCAGGCATTTCGTAGGCACCGGCGGACACGATGTTGTAGTTGGTGTCGAGACTGTCCAACTCGGCCAGCGTCAAGTTGAGCATCCAGCCGCCGATTTGCGAGATGTCGGCGAGTCCCCGCTTGTGCACAAAAGCGTACGCGGCCGAGATACCCGTAAAGTCCATGACGGTCGCAATCGGGGTTCGAAAGCAATGGCCATTGCCAATCGAGTCGTTCAGTGCCCAGTTGTTGGCAATCGTATCAACGAGCACGAGCACAAGCACCGCTGCACCAAGAACGGCGACAACGGCTCGGACCAGCTGTTGACCGCGAGGGGACGTCACGCTCAAGGCAAAGGTGCCACTGGCCGAGGGTCCGATCGGTGCAATCGTCGTACTGCTGCTGGTGCGCATGGGAAAAAAGTTATGCCGGCGATCAAGTGGTTCTATTCGTAGTGGCGGTTTATTTATTTAGCACTGGTGGGAGTGCCATCTTGAGTCAACGGCAACACGCGATCGGTTTGGCCAGAAACATGAAATAGAATCGAGCAATGCGTGCAATATATATATCCATCCGGTCGGGTGCAAGACATCGTCAACTCTCAAGTCCACACTGCCAATTGTCGTCGCACGTAGAGCGCTGCGGGCTAGTCACATGCGGGAAAGGGCGGCGACGTGTTCCATTTCCCAATGCAACCCAAGGCAGCTGAACCCAAGGCCCCTTCAATTTTATTTTAAATGGTATGTTTTATTTGAAACGCATATGATATGGAGCCCCGTGTATTTTTACGTCCCCGGTGCCGTAGTGATCTAAAACAATCAGTCCGAGAGCAGGCAGTGAACGCATGTACATCGGGACGGAGATGGAAACGAGTGAGGTGGTAAAGGACGTACGGGGACCCATTTCATTCGACTTGAAAAAGCGTGTTGTCGGCGGTGCACCGCTTTCGCTCTCGGCCATTCTCGTGCTTTGACTTAGCGTTTGCATGTCAAATGAAATTGTGGGAAGGGAGAAAGTCGCGAGAGACGCCGCAGTCGTCTCAAGTATCTCCAACGATGGTCTTCTAGAAGTAAGAATGTCTGTGTACTAGTAGTATACTCTTACAGGAGGTGGGTTTCGGGTGGCGGAGCTTTGCTCCCACTTGGCCGTTTGACGCCCCCTTTCCACCTGCCTTGCATGCTTTTGCGCTGCTAAGCTCGTGTTGCCTTCTCGTCTGGGTTGAGTATTGCGCAGGGCTGCTGCTAAGTCTCTTATGTCGGATCCTGGATCGACCCCTCATTGTTATTGACAATTACGAATCGTACAATTTACGGAGAATGGTGCTATATAGATATGTAACGCCGATATGCCAGATGTAGCGCCCCGAGGCAATGTGCATGCACGAGGCCCTTTTGCCTCGACACACCGTGCTCCGTGTGCATGAAAATAGGTACGCCATGTAGGTCATATATTCAGCATTTTGAATGCACACGTCTACTGGATCGCGACTGTTGCGTCTTTGAGAATCTTGATGTTGTACACGAGCGCCGTCACGTCGTTCAGGCCGGCATCCAGCAAGTGAATATGGCCGTCGCCGTCTTGCGCAATGATGCACTTGGCGTTGTTCTTGACGTCCTCGCTAGATGTGGACATGGTCACTGACGACGTTTGAAGCATCTTTTTCTTGGCGCGGAGTTCCTTCTCGGGAAGGCCAAAGCACCGCAAATGGTTCATGAAAAACCACTGCAGCGTACTGAGGCGGCGCGCCTTGCAGATGAGCAGCGACCCTTGGCTGCCGACCTCCGTATCCGGCACCACGCCGTCGAGGTAATCGCACACGATCGAGCTGCTGTTGAAGATGGCTTGGCGCGCGAGCGAGTTTTTCGCCAAGAGCGTCCAGTGCTGGTACCAAAGGACATGGTCGAGTGTCAAAATACCGAGCATGTTGAGAATCAGGAGGAGGACAATGGCGGGAATGCAGCGGAGGTAAAAGCCGTCGAAGGCATCGATGTGGATTGGGTCGAGAATCTCGGCGCTATGATAGAGCTCGATGGTGACGCTGTTGTTGAACTCGATGAACGACGGGACAAAAAAGAGAACCGCGGCGCTCAAATACAAGGACGTGACGCTCGACAAGTTGAGGTAGCCCATGAGTCGACTCTCGCCGCTGTACGACGCCGTGCTCAGGACGCCCCATCCGAGTTTCAGCACCTTAAGGAAGAGGCAGTTGATCCACAAGAGACGGACCTCGAGGGCATAGAGCTGGAGCGAAATACCAAATTGCGGCGAGAGTGAATTGTACAATTGCATGTTGCGCATGGCCACAAAACAATTGCTCATGTCGAGAAGGACGCTGGTCGCAAACAGCAGCACAAACAAGTCAGAATTGTAGCAAAACAGGCGAAAATCCAGCGCCAAACTCGGGTACGGAAAGTATTTCGGCGAAATGGTCCGCAAAAGTTTCGCAAAGATCGAGTCGGTCACCGTATGGTCGACTTCGCTCCACTGCACCGTCTTGCGACTGCCAAGATAACCACCGAGAGCAAAGGCAATCGCAATTGCCTTGAGGTAGTGCGACGCCGACGAGAATGCTGATTTTGGTTGCATCAAGCCGAGCTTGTAAATCGACTTGTCGATATTGGCGCTGCGCTGCACATGCATCGATGCGGTCGCGTCGTTGTAGACCAGCGTAAAGTTGCAGCTGCCGTGACCGAGCTCGACAATCGGCGTGCAGCCGCTGCAAAAGCTACGTGGAAAGAACCGGTAGTAGCTCATCTCCACGTGTTGCGTCTCGGACGTGTTGGCAATGTTGAACGGGTCGGACAAGCGCAGATCGACCGCGAGGCGTGTCGGCAGATAGCCCAACGCTGAGAGCTCTTTCCTTTTCATTTTAGACGTCGCGACGCCTTCGGATGCGTCCTTTGTAAAGAGATGGCTCCACGCACTGCCGCGCATGAACGTGATCGAGTTGGTGACAGCACCAATCTTGATTGCGTCGGCGCGAACGCTGACGTCGTACTCGCCTTGAAAGATGCTGCAGAGGTCCGTGGTCGCGGGCATCTCGTAGGCACCGGCAGACACGACGTAGTAGTCACTGTTGACACTTGTAAACTCGGCGACCGTGTAGTTGAGCATCCAGCCGCCGATTTGCGACACATCGTCGAGTGCGAGGTCGTGGCGGAACGTATACGCCGCCGAGACGCCCGAGAAGTCTAAGACGGTTGCGATCGGTGTCTTGAAGCAGTTGCCGTTGCCAATGTAGTCGTTCAGCGCCCAGTTGTTGGCGAACGTGTCGACAGCCACGAGCATGAGGATCGCTGCACCAATGACGACGACGGCCGCACGGTAGAGCTGGCGTACATGGATCGACGCTGCGCTCGTGGCCACGACGCCGCTGATCGTTGGTCCGATGGGCACGATCACAGTGCTGCCGCCGCTCCGCATGGATGTGAGAATTCGTTCGGACTGCGCTTTTCAAATTGCCATCGGTTACCTGTACTATTCCTAGCAGGGACGCCATCTTGCGTTCCCGAAACGAGCGAGTTGTACACTGACACCGTGAACGACGTCACGACGCTCCTTGGTTGTATACAGCCCGTGGTATCGATGTATAATACTTGCGACCACCTCGACACTGCGTCGGGGAATTCGCAAAATCAACCCCATTGATGGGTTGCAAAATCAGCCCCTATGCGTGACAAAAAGGGATCAAAACTTCCCTTTTAAAAAGTATGTTACGGCAGCGAGCGACGACAGAGTATCATCGACCCAGAAAAGTCTGTCCTCCGCAGCGCAGCAGAGGTAGGGTGTTGACTTTTGTACAGGCCGTGCCTTGCGAGGAGTGAGCCCCAGTCTCGACACTAGACTGATTTTGCAAGCGTGAAATGTAGGAATGGGGCACGCCCGTGACATGTCGCATGCGCGCGTCGGATGAATTCCACCGAAGCAAAGTACGATGGGACCCCCTCAATCCTGAACTGGTTTTCAGGAAAGCCACTTATTTTTTGACTTGCACTGAGTATGAGCAAGGACCCCACAGACGACGAAGAAGGCATTTCGCTTCACCGTGGCCTCGGACGTCATGCTTGTGAGCCCACATGCCACACAACTGTCCGTGCCACACGACTGTCCTTACGGCCAGACCGCAAAGCGCTGGGAAGAGTTAGCCGAACACATGTGTGTGATTCACGGTGACCTCGTCACGGTCATCAGGCGCCGCCGGCGCTCTGACGACCTTAGGACGGCCTTAGAGAACGATCGAGAGGCCACGACGGGGTGTTGGGCGAGAATCGCGACGAGAGGGAGTGCGAGCAGGGCGTCGTCCATGACCGGTCCAAAGCAAAAAACTTTTGCACGTTTGCAAAAACATCGGACGCGCCCACTTTTCATCATTGAGTTTTCTGGAATGTCGCGCGCCGAACAATCCTGAATTCCACTCTTGCAAATTGCTCTACTAACAGGGATTTCATTGTAGATCGGAGCCCCAGGTGGAGGCGTGTAGGCCCGCCGACCCTGGAGTATCATGGGCTATCATGACGCCCTCTCGATATGCAGCTTCACCGGTCTTGCGCAATTCTAATTACACCGGCTTGGCGGTGTGTTTGTGTACAATGGACAAGTGACCAGTTTCCGCTTGCACCGTAGGTCCTCAGTAGTGGAATTCGACCAGAAATCAGCCCCCTTTAATTCAAATAGGGGCTGATGTTGCAAAGCATCGGTCAAAAGGGGACGCTTTTCAACTTCCCCCGACGCTGTGTCGTGGGCGATACCACGGAAAGCCCCAGCGCCCAAATACCCAACATGCACAATGTCCATTCATTAAATGCATCATTGAATGACGACGGTCGTGTCCTTGAGGATTTTGATATTGTACACGAGGGGCGTAACATCCGCGAGCTGCGCGTCGAGCAAGTGCACGTGGCGGTCGCCGTCTTGCACGACCATGCACTTGACGCTTGTCGAATCTTCTGATGTCGTTGTGATGGACGACGTTTGGAGCATTTTTTTCTTGGCGCGGAGCTCCTTCTCGGGAAGGCCAAAGCAAACGAGGTGACTCGTAAAGAACCACTGGAGCGTACTGAGGCGACGCGCCTTGCACACGAGCTGCGAGCCCTTGCTATCGACGTCATGATCGGGCTCGATGCCGTGCAGGTAATCGCACAAGATGGAGCTGCTGTTGAAAATGGCTTGGCGCGCGAGCGAGTTTTTTGCCAGGAGCTGCCACGACTTGTAGTAGAAAAAGTGGTCGAGCAAAAGCACACACGCGAGGTTGATCACGACCAGCGCCAAAATGAAGGGCACCACGCGGAGGTAAAAGCTGTCAAAAGCAAGCACGTGGATGTCATCGAGGTTTTGGACCTTGTGGTTGAGGTCGTGGAGGACGCTGTTGGAATACTCGATGAACGGCGGCACGTACATGAGCGCGATCGCGCTAATGTACAAGGATGTGACGTTGGTCAAATTCAAGTACCGCATGATCTACGATTCTACATCAAACCAGTGTACAATATGGTGTCAAAAAATGATCGACAATAGACATACCTTGTTTTCGCCATTGTACGTCGACGTCATGACGAGGTTGCACAAAATCTTGAGCAGCTTGAGCACGGCGCAATTGATCCATAAGAGACGGGTGCTGAGCGCGTACTGCTGAATGTTGTACACTATACTCGGCGACGGCGCGTTGAAGAGATTGATGACGCGCAGGTACATGAGGCAGTTGCCAATGTCGAGGAGGACGCCGGTCGCAAACAAAAAGACAAAAATGTCCGAATTGTAGCAAAACATGTCAAAGCGGAGCGCCAAACTCGGGTACGGAAAGTATTTTGGCGACACGGTGCGCGCAATCTTGGCCAAAATCGAGTCGGCGTTGGCCAAGAGCGCTTCGATATCAACCCACTGCACCGTGCGGCGGCCTGCGAGATACCCCCCGACGGCAAAAAAAATCGCCGTCAACTTGACATAGTGCGACGCCGACGAGAAGCCCGACTGCGGCAAGAGCACGCCTACCTTGTACATGGAGCCAAAGTGGTTGACACTGCTTGAGATAACCACTTGCTTGGTCGTGTCGTTGTACACAAGCGTCATGTTGCACTGGCCGTACCCGAGCTCTGTCACTGGCGTGCATCCGGTGCAAAAGCTCCGTGGCGAAATCTTGTACCACGCCACGAGAAGGTTCTGGGCGGTAGAGACGTTGGCGACGACAACACCCGTCGTGAGCCGCATGTCGGTGCCCGTGCGTCCGGGGACATATCCAATGTCTCGGAGCTGCCCATCGTGCATGCTCGCAGTCGGCAGATTCGTCGTCGCATCCGATTGGAACGCATGCGAGAAGACGTTGCCTCGAAAGTACGTCACGGCGTTCGAAGCGATGCCAAAATGGGCGGTCGAGGACGCGGCCACGTCATGCGGATACGTCGCTTTAAAGATCTTGCACTGGTCGATGCTAGACGTGAGCGGAAACGACCCGACCGAGAGCACGTAGAGATCCGAGCTCTTGGTCACCATCGCGTGCACGGTGTAGTTGACCATCCAAAACCCGATTTTGGACAAGTCGTCCAATCCACTCGTGCTCGGAAAGCTGTACTGGGCCTCGAGATCCGCCGCGTGCGAGACCGCCGCGATCGGTGTCAAGAACGCGTACCCGTCGCCGACAAACGAGTTGATTTCCCAGTTGTTGGCGACGCTGTCGATTGCGACGAGCACGATGATCACGAAGCCAATGAGAACGTCCAGTCGCCGCAGAAAGGCGTCGAGACGGGGCCGCTGCTTGGAATAATGGACACCGTGGGACATGGGTCCGATGCCAATCACCGGCGTTGGCAGCGTAGCAGACGACATGAACGGCATGCTCTTCTTGTGGAAAGCGCGGCGTGATCGGTTGTGACGCCGTGTCGTCGTCGGTTGTTTGGCTATTATTGGCAAAAAAGGCGGCCTGCGATACGCCAACGCCCGAGGCAACGACTTCGCTCGTCGACGCACGGAGTGTCTTTCACGATCCATTGCCGTTGACGTCTTCAGTGTCTGGTGCGATGGGTCGCTGCTACTGCTAGTCGCTACCGCGAGCGAGAAGACAGAGATCTTGCGTTTGAAGGTACACCCAAGGAAGCAATCGTGCGAGTATGCGGCGGTGCGAAACAGATTCGCTGGCTACCCTTGGTAACTGTGGTATCCGTGTACTGAGGCATGGTGCTTTGTACCCTCTGTAAGAGCAACGATCGTGGAGCACCTGACGAGGCATCTATACGTCTCTGTACCCCCCCCCGCGACCATTTTGCACGTTCGGGCAGACATTTTTGGTACTCCGGGGTACATGACGTGACACTGCACGCGACGAGACTCGTTCTGGGCAAATTGTTTACAGGGTGAAAACGTAGAAATCCATCTTTATACACACACCCTGCCGTCAAATGTGTCTGCATTGCAGTCCCTATCATGTTGAAGGGGATACCTCGCATCTCATCGAAAATGCAAAAGGCAGCCCCAAGGGCACCAAGGATATCAATGGCCTTGGCAGCTCACGGATGGAATCTGACGCTAGATTCAACTGTTGACGGCTTTCCACGCCGATGTCTTCCGCGCCCGTCGGGTCTCCGTTCAAAAGCACTCGAATGTAACGCCGCGAGTGCCAATACTCCAGCGCGTCAAACGGTCGAGAGTGTAACACATAGTAAACGGCATCAGTGACCGATGTCAGTGACCGCGCCTGTATCGTGTGTGATGCAAGGATCGTGCAGACGCGCCTCTTGTGCAAGTAACTCGAATGTGCGCTATCGTCGAGGCACACACGCTGTCGTGAAGGCATGTGACTCCGTCGAACGACCCGCCGTGCACGACCGTCTTTACTCGCACCATAGAGCCGACAACGATCTTCGACGCAAGAAAGAGGCAGAGCGTTCTTCCCCCGATTGCACTTGTGGGTCTTTTGATGTCGCCTCTTGTCGGAAACCGTCCAGCAAACATGGCTGCAATATGCCTCGGAAAGGAGTGCGTGGGGAATGGGAGGGGATTTGATGCGCAAGTGTCAACGCGATGTGGGTACAGTGGCACGCATTGGAGCATGGATACGGTCACGGGATACTTGACACGATGCTGCAGCAAAGACACGTCGCAGGTTCACTTCGTGTCGCTGCAAGACACCACCATACGAAGCAGGCTTCTTCTGGCCTTCTCCGCGGGAGACGATAGATTTTCGATGCGAGCACACTTTGTGTAGAAAGCGTGCGCCTGCCCCATCTCTGTCGTCACTTTTGGCATCGGATCGATCGTCCGATGCATGTGCACTCTGTATTCATCGTGCGCATGTCCTCTCGAGCGTTTGCCCATGTGCATCGCACGCGGAATGCACCGAGACAGCCATCACGACGCGTGGGTGACTTGACGTCAACGCAAGCGATGTGGCGGTGGTGGCTGCAGGCTGCAAAGACGCGCTGCCACGTCATGGAGCGTTTCAATTTTGGCCAATCAACGGCGAGAAACAGGAACTTTCGACAGCTGCGTGCAGCGACAGGAAGCGTGCGTAGCGTGGGCGACCGACCGAACAAGCTTGAAGCGCCACGGTTTTCAATCCGAGCACCTGCGCGTCCCATCGACACGCCGCCTTTCTGTAGCACCAATTGCACCCTCCTTGTCGACGGCGGCTTCATTCGATAGGATGCAGTGTGTGTGGCACTCGACGGACCTCCTGCGTGAAATCATGTCCTTCCAACTCGGCGTGCCATACGATACCCATACGCTCTTGCACGCGCTTCGATCCCTTGTCTGGGACAACGCCGACGTCCTTGCAACGCTGCCGCCCGCGCTGGCGCCGATCCACGACATCTTTCCTGCGTGGTTCAAAGTCCATGGCGCGCGCGGTCTCAAGCGCATGCCATGCAGCGTCGCCCTCGAACTCTTCTACTACGGCCTCTACTACGGCCATCTCGACGTCATTATGCACTTTTGCGACAAGCTGCCCGTCGACTATGTCGAGTGGCACCTCGTCATCATGTCGGGCAACGTCGTCGCCGTCAAGTTTCTCCTCGACGCGTACCCGGATGGCTGCTTCTTCCAAACCATCGAGCGCGCCATCGAGCATGGTCATCTCGGCGTCGTCCGCGCGCTCCGAGCACATGGCGTGCCGTGGCCAGCGACTGCGTGGAAGGTGGCGAGCCAGCACGGTCGCGCCGACATTGCGTCGTACCTCGATGCGTACAAGTGTCCGTGGCACGAGCACTGGCGCGGCGAAGTCGCTGAAGCCGCGGCCGAAGGTGGCCACGTCGACGTTCTCCGGGTCTTGCAGCGCCACCACGCGGATGCGATCACCGAGACGGCCATGGACGCCGCCGCCGCGAATGGCCATGTCGACGCTGTCGCCTACTTGCACGAGCACGGCCAAGCCGGCTGCACGTCGCTAGCGCTCTCGACCGCGGTCCGCGCCGGCCACCTCGACGTTGTTGCGTTTCTTGCCGAGCATTACGAGCTCGATAAGAAGCTCGCGTCGCTCCGGCTTGCGTCGCCGACGAGCCAAGGCGATGACGACATTGAGGACGCCCAGCTGCGCGAGGAGCACGAGAGCTGGACGTCGGCGTGGCAGGCGTTCCAAGCCAAGGTGCAAACGCTGCTGTCGAGTCCGTCGCGGCCGACGACCAAGGCACCCAAGATGCACTTTCGTGCGATTCCACGTTTAATTTAACACCATGTTATCTAATATATTATATATGATGTGTATCCTTTTCCCGGGACCGTCGACACGATCCCATAGCAACATTTTGTACGCACGTTGGTGCATACGGTGCGTAGGTAAAGCAAGGCTGTACAGGCAAGTCGTCGCCACCCCCGTGCGTCCGTGGCGACAGTATTTAGCATGCATTCAACAAAAGCAAACACGTGATGTCGCAATGCATTTTAAAACGCTTGCTTTACGAAATGCCTGGTAGCGTGTACCCCGGGGCACCCATCGCAAAAGCAA